CCCCCCTCCCCCAAAAGGAATTATATATTTCCCCCTTCAATCGAATCTTTTGTGTATACATATTCCACTGTTTATTACCGATACACACGTGAGTAAATGTCTATTTGCATACACTCTAACAACACGAGTTTGACTAGATTTTCGTGGGTTAGTTCAACTCGAGATCCATTCGCTTCATGAAACTTTCACTTCGTTAACTACATGCTTTACAGTAAGTTAATATTTCAGAAAAACCTTGCCAAAGACTCTAAGGATGGCAAAAGCATTGAGATATACGAGACAGTTGGTCTCGCCACACTCGACACAATGTTACGATGTGCGTTTTCCTACGACGGACGTGTCCAAAAGCAGGGGTAAGTTGTTCAATAAATTCGGTAAGTGGGTGGTTAGTATATCAAATAAAAAATTGCTTCAACATATGTGTATGGATAAACCAATAAGCTCAAATACAATATTATAAGTGACGTAATATATTGTTTTTGGAGTGAGTGGCTAACAGAAAGGTACAAACAAAATACTAAAGGGGAACAGGCGGTTAGTTCATACAGGATAGGACAGGAGATAAATTGGATTCTCTGATATAGCTAACTAAAGCATTTCATTCTATACTCTACAGGGACACCCATCCGTATGTATTGGCGGTCCGAAATATGACAAAGTTGGCCTCGGAAAGAATTCTGTAAGTCTATATATGTACAATGTATTAGATAACTTATGTAAGTATATAACAATGTGTATACCGATCTTCAGTGATATTAGATTTTAGATATAACAATACAATTGATGATAATATGAAAAGGCAAAGCCTTAAAAGAGCGTAGCTTTTGTTGATCTCTAATATTCACTGATTCAGAATACTGCTGTCAGAATGAGATAAAATGAACTTAATTGAAGTCGGCTAGTCGAGGAATAACGATAAAACACAGGCTCTAATGAGGTTAAGACCGACATAACAATATGGGAGACCGGGGCAAGTTCGGCCCATTTTTTATTAAGTCCGTTCTGGGAAGTATGGCAGCACGTCCGATTTTGAATATTATTTAATTTTTCCTGTCGAAAGATCGGATGGCCGAACGAGCCCCGCCATGGGGTACGTTCGGACAGGCATTCGGGTGAGTTCGGCCCCCATTGGAATCTGAAACGTCAGATTTTACCGCCAATTCTACGAGTTTGTATGTGTTTCATGGGCCGAACCTGCCACGGTATCATTGACCAAATCTGTTCGGGCCCAAATTAATATTTCAATAAATTCTTATCGTACAGCAATATGGTAGTGAGTGCTTGGCTTGGATTTTATACACATCATTTGAAGCTGTACGTGTGTTACACGTTTGACCGTAAAAGGTAGCAATTTTGTTTACAGAAAGTTCGCATAACTAGAGATCATGATTTTCTTCCTACTCTCTCAAAAATAATTTTCTCCTGTTTAGCAATTTTACATTAGTTTTCTTCGCCATTTTTTCGTGTGAATGCCCAGCAAACTAAGCTGCTAAGATCTTTAAAGCTAAAAATATTAGCTTAAAAACAATATTATCAGGGGTGGCCGAACTTACCCTGGTCTCACGAATGTAGTGTTTTGTATCATTGATGATTGGTAAAAATGTATTCACAATATATTTTTTGCATCAATGACGTAATTTTCTTCAGTCAAAGCTAAAGTAGATATTTGTTCTTGTGCGTAACGTATATGACGGGTCGGGTGGCGCAGTACGTGGATAGCGCGCTCGTCTTCACCAAGATGGCCGGATTCAACCTGGTCACCTGCCCGACCACGCGGGTTTTCTCCGAAACTCAAGCTTCCTCCCACATTAAGAATTACATTCTCTGCGTTCTTCCGTCTGGGCACAAGGAAAATTATTGAGATAATTGGAAAAAATTGTTTGGGAATTGCTATAGAAAAAAGTGTATATTACATATTTGACGATAAATCTAGGTAAATGTAAAGAGATGTTAGTTAAAAAAGAAAATTTAAAAAAGAAAACATACTTGTATGTAACTGAGATTGTCGTTATTATCGATATGCAGTCGCAATTCCTGTTCCATCCTGAAACACCGGATTGAATTTCAAATTTTGTAACTGGTACCAAGGTTTGACAGATAATGATGCGAAATAAAATTAAACAGTTTCTGTCTGTAACTAGTTATAAATCGGCACGCGTTGTGAACAAATTTACGTTGCTAAAAAAAGGCGTTGAACTCGGGTTGGTTGTCTGGAAATTTATTGTTGATTCTACATGAATGCATTATCCATTGTTTCTTTTATGAGTGGTGATTCATGAATAAATTATGTAAAGACTATAATCAGACTTTCAAAAATGTTAATTGGAACAAATGGAAATCGAAAGCTGATGAAGTTTAGACGATGAAACATGTTCACCTACATGTATTGGTTTAATGCCGGCCCTTTTTGAAGATATCTACCGGTAGAAAATTATGTATTAACAGAACCTGGTTGATGACAAAATGATCTTCAGAAAATATGCGCCTTTTTTACTTTTTGTGCCTGTGGCAAAAACTGAAATAGAAAAAAAACCTTGAATCATCGACAAAGGGATAAATGTAACGGATATCAGTTCCAAGATTTTCCGGGTTCTTTTCATCCTTCCGAAATAACAGATGAAGGCCGATGGAGGGTGACGTGTTTGTGACGTCATAGTACATGTATGATGTTCTCTGAACGAAGTTTCATGCCTATTAGTATCACATTTTATGTGATAGAATTGTTTTCACTCAGAATGTATATTAGTTTTTATCTAAATAAACAAGTAAAAAAAATGAGAATTAGTTTTACTATATGAAGATGTTCATGCATGGGTTGAAACACAATTGTCTTTGCTTCAATAATTCACTTCCGGTTTCCCCACTGGACGACTACTTCCGGAAGAATTTTGTTTTTTAAAGGCAATGTGTAGCAAGGGGAAGCAACTATGTTTACGCACGCATGTGTTACAATTAAAGAGCTTCGCTCGGGCGCCTTTGGCTTCGCTCTTACAAATGATCAATTTGAAGGTGTCATTTTCAGCTGCATTTTCTTCACGAGCAAATATAACAGTGCAAAGTTTAATGAACCGAAAAGAACTGCCAAACGATACCTATGCATTTACTTTAATGCATTTGTTGCGTCCTTATAGTCCTGCCCCACCAATACCAATGACGTAACACATCCGAGAACTATATTTGTACTTCATCAATTTCTGCTTTCACAAGAGATGTACAAATAACAACATCAAACTGCCAATACATAGGTCCTCCAATAGTTTCGTCTCCTTAAAGTAAAATACTTTTGTAAATATGCCTATGTTCTACAAATATTAGGGCACTGTCATTAAAGAAAGCTTGTATGCCCACCCTCTTCTGAAACGTAATATATTGGGTTTTGCCTAATTCCCGTGCCAATCAGCAAATACCGTGTATTTTGTTCTGCCCTTTTATGTTATCTAGTACATAATATACCTTGTCAGACTTGTAAATATGTATTGCGCCATATTCGTAGAAAACCTTGGCTTCAGTGGTACTGGGTTTTCCGTCTGACGCATGCGGGAAAGGAATTTGTTCGACTTGCATGTTTCGTTCACGAATTTGCTGAAAGCCTTATTGCCAAAAGAAGAAAGGATTTGGTAAGTTTTTTTTAACTTACAAAATAAAATTCTAATATGCACGGTAAATGTATCTTTCGTGTAGAGTTCATGCAATCCAACTTGTACATGTATGAACAGATGTGTGTACGTATGGAAATAAAATGTAAAATAATAATAATAATAATATACATGTCATCTCTGAAATTAATGACGTATCAATCAAGGTCAATCTTGATCAAATATCACAGTACTTAAAGATGTACTCCATACTAAATATGTTGATATTAACATATGACTATAACAGCAAAGATGGGGTAAAAAATCGTATCAATCAAGGTCAATCTTGTTCAAATATCACAATACTTAAAGATGTACTCCATACTATAAATGTTGATCGTAACATATGGCTATAACAGCAAAGATGGAGTAAAAAATCGTCCATCTCACAATATAAACATGTGTAACAAGCATGGAGTACTCAAAAACAATCTTTTACAACCATAGGTGTAATGAATGTACAGGAATACCATGTGAGATTGAAAGATCCAGTTCAATATATGTGGGTGGGAAAAATTAGGGACCGAAATTAAAAGGTGCAGAACATGTTTCAAAAGTGTTCTGGGTAATGACGCCTCTGGGGACAAAGGATGGTCAACAACCTTTGTGATTGGCCCAGAGGCTGGAGATAAGGCTTATGATTGGACAGCCAATGACCGCTTGTTTATAATTTAGACCTCTGACCAACGATGGTCAGTATAGGGCCTGGGAATTTTCCATCAGGCGTGAGAGCCATGTCCTATTACATAACTGCCTGACCTGCCAGCCCTGTACCAAAATATAACATAAATAATCGGCACTGATGACCGTATTCAAATACGGACATCGCCCCATCCAAGTGCATAACAATAAACAACGTTTGTAAGTGTTATACTAGTTCGTATTTCATTGATTCTGTAAAGGAAACAGACCCAGCACTTTTAGAGAAGAGGTATTTGGACTTCCTAGACATTCTAGTGACAGCTAAAGACGAGCACGGAACTGGGTTATCTGACCTTGATATACGTCATGAATGTGATACTTTCCTGTTTGAAGGTAAGGTTAGAATTTGACGTTTATATGCAGATATCGTAATAAAATATGCCCTAAGTGTTTTGTGATTTTGTCTTCATGGAACGTAACCCACCGGCGAAAGTATTGCTTTTCAATCCGTTTCCGGCCCACGTGATATTGACATCAGTCCCGACATATTAATCCAATCGCCCACATCTGTATCATCGACACGCTATTTTATTGTTATCTGTGACATGTTATGATCCTTTTGTTATCATTGCTATCTGTGACATTTTATGATCCTTTTGTTATCATTGTTATCTGTGACATTTTATGATCCTTTTGTTATCATTGTTATCTGTGACATTTTATGATACTTTTGTTATCATTGTTATCTGTGACATTTTATGATCCTTTTGTTATCATTGTTATCTGTGACATTTTATGATCCTTTTGTTATCATTGTTATCTGTGCCATTTTATGATCCTTTTGTTAGCATTGTTATCTGTGACATTTTATGATCCTTTTGTTATCATTGTTATCTGTGACATTTTATGATCCTTTTGTTATCATTGTTATCTGTGACATTTTATGATACTTTTGTTATCATTGTTATCTGTGACATTTTATGATACTTTTGTTATCATTGTTATCTGTGACATTTTATGATACTTTTGTTATCATTGTTATCAATTCTGTAATTGGACCCTTGGGTCTGTTGAATTGAAATCAATAAATCAACTACAAAGGCACGGTTATTCTTACGCAAATCTTTGAATTTAAATTTTCTAAACAATTACGGATATTTTATAAATTTGTTTATTGTCATTTTGAATACTTAAACGTACAACATTGGTTTTAATTTCAACCTGTTCGGGAATGTTATCGTTTAAACGTACAACATTGGTTTTAATTTTAACCTGTTAGGGAATGTTATCGTTTAAAATGTTGCATAAGGTTGAGGTTAAGCTTACCAGAATTTGACAAGCTGTGCTCAGCTCGTCATATGAAGAAATAATTTGAGAATAAGAGAATAGGCGATAAATGATAGTCATGTCTCTTGAAATTGATCTATCAATTAAACGTTAAGCATTGTTCATAGGCAATAGTAATGTCATAGGCAATTACGGGATATATTTATTAAATGACGACGCTGGTCTTTTATAGATCACAAAGCCAGTGAGGACCTAGTCTTAATCTTGTAGAACAGATAAGATGGTAATGTAGGCGTCAACCTGTTGACACGTAAGAAATTAAAATTACAAGAAACATGCCACCACAGTCAAGTTTGCTATACTGTTGTCAAAAATGTAACAATGCATTAGAAATCTCAGAACTTCAGAATTTTCATCTCAGAAGCTTTGATTATTCATTTAAATAATAAATAAATAAATATACAACATTTGATATAGCGCCCTATCTAGCTAGCATAAACCACTCTAAAGCGCTTTACAGTACATAGATATACAATTTTATACAGTCAATACAATTAGCATATATATTAATCAATACATTATTGAAGAATTCGCAGGAGCTGCCTGATCAGGCGCTAACTACTAGTCCTATGCCACCTGGCTAATATCTCCCTATGTGTGTGTGCCTGTGTGTATACCGGAGATGTATTGTGTTCCGTTTGTAGTGGAACCGTGCTTCCAACGGTATCATTTACATTGCCACTTCACTTGAATGCTTCAGCACAGATACCGCAACACCCACCCCAGACCATTTTATGCTTCACCTGGGTTGTTGGAGTTGTGTGGGCAGGAGAAAAACACTTTCTCTAATATTCCATGCATACGGTGACTTCGGGGCCGCCTGCTTGGAAGGCCAGAGTGTTAACCGCTCGACCAATCCGCCCACATTTCTGAAAACGAAAGTTATAACTTGTCACATGACATTTTCATTGCGATATCACAGTCTGTATTTACCTGTGACTAATATAGGTTTTGGGCCAAATACAGTTTTTTGCTGCACTCAATTCATTTCATGTCCCCTGCAAATAACTTATTTTCTCAAGACCCGATTGATATTTCGTGAAGCTGTGTTCATTGCAGTTTTCGGAAAATCTGTCTTTTTATGATATATCATCAATACACATGCCGCCCTTTTAATATGTTTTTCGTATAGACAGTCATTATCACATTAATTTTTCCTTGTGTCAGAAAGTGAAACACTCATAACGGCCGCCATGCAAATACAGATACGCATATCGTACGTACGGAGCATATCACGGGGACATATTTACGAAACCTTTCTCATGCTCGAACCAAAATTCTGTGCTTAAGCCACAATCCTTGTTTCAGTGATAATCTATGAAAAAAATCAGATATTATCGATTTGGGATGATTTTAAAACTGTTTACGTAATATATAGTTTTAAATGTTTACACTTGCCTTTTTGATCGTGTCACGGGATTTAAACGTAAATCAAGAAAGTACGTTTGCATACAGAATCCATGTCTGGGTTTGGCTCTGGAAGTAACACAAATCTTAATTTCAAATGCTTTCACATAGAGCTCAAATGAATAAACCCCCTAACGATACTAGTGCTAGGAATACACTATATAAAGGAACTTTTAACTTGCTGCAGGTCACGATACGACGTCATCAGGTCTTAGTTGGGCCATCTACTGCTTGGCTCGCTACCCGAACTACCAACAGATAGTGTTTAATGAACTACAAGAAGTCATGGGGGATAGGACTGATGTTGAATGGTAAGACTTTATATTATGGATGTGATGTCAAGTTATTGCAATTAGTATTGTATCAACGTATTTAGGTGTGTATGGTGTAGTATTATTTAACGTCCTATCAACAGCTATGGTCATTTAAGGACGGCCTTCCATGTGTGGAAGATACATGCGTGTAGTGTATGCGTGTGTGTTTTGGGAGGCTGCGATATGTTCGTGTTTATCTCCTTGTGATAGCGCGGAACTGATGCCGTCTTTATAGTGCTACCTCACTGAAACATACTGCCGAAGACACCTAGCATGACACCCAACCCGGTCACATTGTACTGAAAACAGGCAAACCAGTCGTCCCACTCCTAAATTGCTGAACGTTTTACAGATTTTGTTATGTCTCGGCCAGGGGACAGAACCCAAAGCCTTCCTTACAGGGGCGGACGCTCAACTGTCAAGGGAGACATAAGGAAGAAGAAAGTTGTTTAGAAAGAAGAGAAAAAATAAGATCCCAAATTTGGTCGCCTCTTTCGATCATGTAATTTGGGCAGTAGGTACAATTCGTACGCCCTACAAACGAGAGCGTTGTTTCAACATAAGTTTATGTGTGTTTATTCGTCGTATAGATAACATGAAAATGGATATTTACAAGCCGGGCATGAACTATTTATATTTTTTTTTATACTTATTTGAAACATGACGTTTCAGTACTCAATTATATGTACAATGCAGGCCAATGTGGAGAGATGTGTACAGGTTAAGTGTATAAGTGTGATACTTGTTCTTTTTCCAGCATGTAGTTCAGTTAATGCTCATTCGTTTCGGCGACAACGATCTTTGTGACTATTGATGCCCAGGTCTTATGTTTTATAAATAAAATATGTTTTATTACAAGTGGTCAGGAAAATCGTCATTCCTGCAAAGGATGAACCATTAACACCAGATCACATTCACCTTCTTCTGGATTAAAGTGCAGTAGAAAAATGTAACCTACATATATAAATATATTCATACAAGAAAACACAGTCGCACGAACGTTTTGCCATTGATTAAATCTATCGATTTGTACATATCTTACGAACGACATTCCTCGAGAATGTCTCCTAATTTGTAAAACACAAATATGTTTGAGTTTGCTGATACGGTGGTGAGGACATTTTGTGCTTCATATACATGTGATTACATTTATAGTGAATCGACTTGTTTTATGATGATTCTAAGTTAGGCAGCAGGCTCAATTTGGTAGTGTAATGTTACAACTATGATGTCTAGTGATATCAACGTCAATTATTTGAAACTGCGGAAAACTTGAAATCTATTTTAATGATGATAAACTGAAGACTTATCAAAAGTGTATCTCATATAAATCACTGTATATACCTCAGGAGTGACCTTGCGAACACCCCGAAGCTAGCACTGTTTCTGAAGGAAGTTCTTAGGATGTATACACCGGTGCCAGGTGTGAATCGTGTGCTGACAATTCCTGCTGAAATAGACGGAAATGTATACCCGGCAGGCACTGAGATGAGTGTCAGTTTGAGGAGTACGCACTACCATCCGGACGTCTGGGAAGACACGAAGGTAAGTGTATATTACATACTGTGAATCCGGACAGATACTACGGACGTCTGGGAAGACACCAAGGTAAGTATTTATTAAATATTGTGTATCTGGACAGATACTCCGGACGTCAGGAAGACACCAAGGTAAGTATTGATTAAATACTTTGTATCTAGACAGATACTCCGGAGGTCTGAAAGACACCAAGGTAAGTATTGATTAAATACTGTGTATCTAGACAGACACTCCGGACGTCTGGAAGATACCAAGGTAAGTATTGATTAAATACTGTGTATCTAGACAGATACTCCGGACGTCTATAAGACACCAAGGTAAGTATTGATTAAATTCTGTGTATCAAGACAGATACTCCGGACGTCTGGAAGACACCAAGGTAAGTATTGATAAAATACTGTGTATCTAGACAGATACTCCGGACGTCTGTAAGACACCAAGGTAAGTATTGATTAAATACTGTGTATCTAGACAGATACTCCGGACGTCTTGAAGACACCAAGGTAAGTATTGATTAAATACTGTGTCTCTAGACAGATACTCCGGACGTCAGGGAAGACAACAAGGTAAGTAATGATTAAATACTGTGTATCTAGACAGATACTCCGGAGGTCTGAAAGACACCAAGGTAAGTATTGATTAAATACTGTGTATCTAGACAAATACTCCGGACGTCAGGGAAGACATCAAGGTAAGTATTGATTAAATACTGTGTATCAAGACAGATACTCCGGGCGTCAGGGAAGACACCAAGATAAGTATTGATTAAATACTGTGTACCTGGACAGATACTCCGGACGTCAGGGAAGACAACAAGGTAAGTATTGATTAAATACTGTGTACCTGGACAGATACTCCGGACGTCAGGGAAGACACCAATGTAAGTATTGATTAAATAATGTGTATCTAGACAGATACTCCGGACGTCAGGGAAGACAACAAGGTAAGTAATGATTAAATACTGTGTATCTAGACAGATACTCCGGACCCCTGTAAGACACCAAGGTAAGTATTGATTAAAAACTGTGTATCTAGACAGATACTCCGGACGTCTTGAAGACACCAAGGTAAGTATTGATTAAATACTGTGTATCTGGACAGATACTCCGGACGTCAGGGAAGACACCAAGATAAGTATTGATTAAATACTGTGTACCTGGACAGCTACTCCGGAGGTCTGGAAGACACCAAGGTAAGTATTGATAAAATACTGTGTATCTAGACAGATACTCCGGATGTCTGGGAAGACAACAAGGTAAGTATATATTACACAATGTGTATCTGAATAGATGCTTCGGACGTCTGGAAGACACCAATGTTAGTATTGATTAAATACTTTGTATCTAGACAGATACTCTGGAGGTCTGGAAGTCAACAAGGTAAATATTGATTAAATACTGTGTATCAAGACAGATACTCCGGACGTCTGGAAGACACCAAGGTAAGTATTGATTAAATACTGTGTATTTAGACAGATACCCCGGACGTCTTTAAGACACCAAGGTAAGTATTGATTAAATACTGTGTATCTAGACAGATTCTCCGGACGTCAGGGAAGACACCAAAGTAAGTATTGATTAAATACTGTGAATCTGGACAGATACTCTGGACGTCAGGGAAGACAACAAGGTAATTATATATTACACAATGTGTATCTGGATATATGCTCCGGACGTCTGGAAGACACACTACGGACGTCTGGGAAGACACCAAGGTAAGTATTGGTTAAATACTGTGTATCTAGACAGACACTCCGGACGTCTGGAAGATACCAAGGTAAGTATTGATTAAATATTGTGTATCTGGACGGATACTGCGGACGTAAGGGAAGACAACAAGATAAGTATATATTACAGATTGTGTAATATATACTTATGTTGTTGTCTTCCCAGACATCCGGAGTATTTGTCTAGATACACAGCATTTAATCAATACTTACCTTGGTGTCTTCCCAGACGTCCGGAATATCTGTCCAGATACACAGTATTGAATCAATACTTACCTTGGTGTCTTCCCAGACATCCGGAGCATTTGTCTAGATACACAGTATTTAATAAATACTTACCTTGGTGTCTTCCCAGACGTCCGGAATATCTGTCCAGATACACAGTATTGAATCAATACTTACCTTGGTGTCTTAAAGACGTCCGGAGTATCTGTCTAAATACACAGTATTTAATCAATACTTAACTTGTTGACTTCCAGACCTCCGGAGTATCTGGCCAGATACACAGTATTTAATCAATATTTATCTTGTTGACTTCCAGACCTCCAGAGTATCTGTCTAGAAGATACAAAGTATTTAATCAATACTTCCTTGGTGTCTTCCAGACGTCTGGAGCATCTATTCAGGTGTCTTGCAGACCTCCGGAATATCTGTCCAGATACACAGTATTAAATCAATACTTACATTGGTGTCTTAAAGACGTCCGGGGTATCCTTACCTTAGTGTCTTCTAGACCTCCGGAGTATCTGTCCAGGTACACAGTATTTAATCAATACTTTCCTTGTTGTCTTCCCTAACTTCCGGAGTATCTGTCCAGATACAGAGTATTTAATCAATACTTACTTTGGTGTCTTCCCTGACGTCCGGAGTCTCTGTCTAGATACACAGTATTGAATCACTACTTACCTTGGTGTCTTACAGACGTCCGCCAGATACACATTGTGTAATATATACTTATCTTGTTGTCTTCCCTTGCGTCCGCAGTATCCGTCCAGATACACAATATTTAATCAATACTTACCTTGGGGTCTTCCAGACGTCCGGAGCATATATTCAGATACACATTGTGTAATATATAATTACCTTGTTGTCTTCCCTGACGTCCGGAGTATTTGTCTAGATACACGGTATTTAATCAATACTTACCTTGTTGTCTTCCAGACGTCCGGAGTATCTGTATTGATACACAGTATTTAATCAATATTTATCTTGTTGACTTCCAGACCTCCAGAGTATCTGGCTAGATTCAAAGTATTTAATCAATACTAACATTGGTGTCTTCCAGACGTCCGGACTATCTGTCTTGATACACAGTATTTAATCAATACTTTCCTTGTTGTCTTCCCTGAAGTCCGGATGATCTGTCTAGATACACAGTATTAAATCAATACTTACTTTGGTGTCTTCCAGACGTCCGGAGTATTTGTCTAGATACACAGTATTTAATCATTACTGACCTTGTTGTCTTCCCTGACGTCCGGAGTATCTGTCCAGATACAGAGTATTTAATCAATACTTACTTTGGTGTCTTCCAGACGTCCGGAGCATCTGTTCAGATACTGTCTAGATACACAGTATTTAATAAATACTTACCTTGGTGTCTTCCCAGACGTCCGGAATATCTGTCCAGATACACAGTATTTAAATTGAATCAATACTTACCTTTTTGACTTCCCTGACGTCCGGAGTATCTGTCTTGATACGCAGTATTTAATCAATATTTACCTTGTTGACTTCCAGACCTCCAGAGTATCTGGCTAGATTCAAAGTATTTAATCAATACTAACATTTGTGTCTTCCAGACGTCCGAAGCATCTATTCAGATACACATTGTGTAATATATACTTACCTTGTTTTCTTCCCTGACGTCCAGAGTATCTGTCCAGATACACAGTATTAAATCAATACTTACTTTGGTGTCTTCCCAGACATCCGGAGTATCTGTCCAGATACACAGTATTTAACCAATACTTACCTTGGTGTCTTCCCAGACGTCCGTAGTGTGTCTTCCAGACGTCCGGAGCATCTGTTCAGATACTGTCTAGATACACAGTATTTAACCAATACTTACCTTGGTGTCTTCCCAGACATCCGGAGTATCTGTCCAGATACAGAGTATTTAATCAATACTTACCTTAGTGTCTTCTCTGACGTCCGGAGTATCTGTCTAGATCCACAGTATTTAATCAATACTTACATTGGTGTCTTAAAGACGTCCGGGGTATCTGTGTAAATACACAGTATTTAATCAATACTTCCCTTGGTGTCTTCCAGACGTCCGGAGCATCTATTCAGGTGTCTTTCAGACCTCCGGAATATCTGTCCAGATACACAGTATTAAATCAATACTTACCTTGGTGTCTTCCCAGACATCCGGAGTATTTGTCTAGATACACAGCATTTAATCAATACTTACCTTGGTGCCTTCCAGACGTCCGGAGTATCTGTATTGATACACAGTATTTAATCAATATTTACATTGGTGTCTTCCAGACGTCCGGAGTATTTGTCTAGATATTACCTTGGTGTTTTCCCAGACGTCTGGAAGACACCAAGGCAAGTAGTGATTCAATACTGTGTATCTAGACAGAGACTCCGGACATCTGGGAAGACACCAAGGTAAGTATTGATTAAATACTGTGTATCTAGACAAATACTCCGGATGTCTGGGAAGACACCAAAGTAAGTATTGATTAAATACTCTGTATCTAGATAGATACTCCGGACGTCTGGGAAGACACCAAGGTAAGTATTGATTAAATGCTGTGTATCTAGACAAATACTCCGGACGTCTGGAAGACACCAAGGTAAGTATTGATTAAATATTGTGTATCTGGACGGATACTGCGGACGTCAGGGAAGACAACAAGATAAGTATATATTACACAATGTGTATCTGAACAGATAATCTGGACGTCTGGAAAGACAACAAGGTAAGAATAGATTAGATGCTGTGTATCTGGACAGATACTCCGGACGTCAGGGAAGACACCAAGGTAAGTATTGATTCAATACTGTGTATCTGGACAGATACTCCGGACGTCAGGGAAGACAACAAGGTAAGTATTGACTAAATACTGTGTATCAAGACTTCCGGACGTCAGGGAAGACACCAAGATAAGTATTGATTAAATACTGTGTATCTGTCCAGATACACAGTATTTAATCAATGCTTACCTTGGTGTCTTCCCAGACGTCCCGAGTATCTGTCTAGATACACAGTATTAAATCAATACTTTCATTGGTGTCTTTCAGACCTCCGGAGTATCTGTCTAGATAGACAGTATTTAATCAATACTTACCTTGGTGTTTTCCCAGACGTCCGGAGTATCTGTCCAGATACACCGGACGTCAGCGAAGACACCAAGGTAAGTATTGATTTAATACTGTGTATCTGGACGGATACTGCGAACGTCAGGGAAGACAACAAGATAAGTATATATTAGTATTGATTAAATACTGTGTATCTGGACAGATACACAGTATTGAATCAATACTTACCTTGGTGTCTTCCAGCCTTCCGGAGTATCTGTCTAGATACACAGCATTTAATCAATACTTACCTTGGTGTTTTCCCAGACGTCCGGAGTATCTGTCTTGATACACAGTATTTAATCAATACTTTCCTTGGTGTCTTCCCAGACATCCGGAGCATTTGTCTAGATACACAGTATTTAATCAATGCTTACCTTGGTGTCTTCCAGACCTCCGGAGGATCTGTCCAGGTACACAGTATTTAATCAATACTTATCTTGGTGTCTTCCAGACGTCCGGAGCATCTATTCAGATACACATTGTGTTATATATACTTATCTTGTTGTCTTCCCAGACGTCCGGAGTATCTATCTAGATACAGAGTATTTAATCAATACTTACTTTGGTGTCTTCCCAGACATCCGGAGCATTTGTCTAGATACACAGTATTTAATCAATTCTTACCTTGGTGTCTTCCAGACGTCTGGAGCATCTATTCAGGTGTCTTCCAGACCTCCGGAATATCTGTCCAGATACACAGTATTTAATCAATTCTTACCTTGGTGTCTTCCAGACGTCCGGAGCATCTATTCAGATACACATTGTGTAATATATTCTTATCTTGTTGTCTTCCCTGACGTCCGGAGTATCTGTCTTGATACACAGTATTTAATCAATACTTATCTTGGTGTCTTCCCTGACGTCCGGAAGTCTTGATACACAGCATTTAGTCAATACTTACCTTGTTGTCTTCCAGACGTCCGGAGTATCTGACTAGATACACAGTATTTAATCAATACTAATATATACTTATCTTGTTGTCTTCCCAGACGTCCGGAGTATCTATCTAGATACAGAGTATTTAATCAATACTTACTTTGGTGTCTTCCCAGACATCCGGAGTATCTGTCCAGATACACAGCATCTAATCTATTCTTACCTTGTTGTCTTTCCAGACGTCCAGATTATGTCTTCCCAGACGTCCGGAGTATCTATCTAGATACAGAGTATTTAATCAATACTTACTTTGGTGTCTTCCCAGACATCCGGAGTATCTGTCCAGATACTCCGGATGTCTGGGAAGACAACAAGGTAAGTATTGATTAAATACTGTCTATCTAGACAGATACTCCGGAGGTCTGAAAGACACCAAGGTAAGTATTGATTAAATAGTGTGTATCTAGACAGATACTCCGGAGGTCTGAAAGACACCAAGGTAAGTATTGATTAAATACTGTGTATCTGGACGGATACTGCGAACGTCAGGGAAGACAACAAGATAAGTATATATTACACAATGTGTATCTGAACAGATGCCCCGGACGTCTGGAAAGACAACAAGGTAAGAGTAGATTAGATGCTGTGTGTCTGGACAGATATTCCGGACGTCTGTAAAAAACCCAATGTAAGAAGTGATGCTGTGTATCTAGACAGATACCAACGCAGTAATAATAAGATAACAGGGAAGCGTATCAGGAAATATACTTAATAGATAACAATGCCGTGTATCTAGACAGATACGTACGCAATCGTGAGTAGATAAGTTGGCGGAGTATGTAAACATATACCTATGTAATCAAACGTTGAGTGTCATGTCAAACTTGTGTTGTACATGTATTTCTTACTATGAGATGCTTGCACATTTGCTTTAGCAAAGAGTTAAATATATATAAAGTGTACGAAGGAAATATGTTTGTCTTTATTTTCATTTTCACAACGAATAAGTAGATAAAATGATGAAAACAAATCCGTTTCGAGCACCTACCCTGGACTTTTGGTTATAACTTGTCCGAAAAAAACTGCGTCAACGTTTATGGTGTTTGTTATGATAAACCTCCCTGTGACATTTCTTTGGATAATTGAAAAATATTGTTATTCATTAAAATTCCTCAACATATAACTATTTTTGCACGCATACAGATGAAATAAATATATTTCTCAGGTAAATTACATTTGATAGTCTTTATGCAAAAGAAGAATGATGTCCCACTCTTCCATAATAATAATTAAACTACGCTCAATATGTGTAGACAGTCACAAACGTGTTCAAAGTTATGTTAACTTTAGTGTATATGAACAGTAACGAATTGAGCTGTTAGTAGAAAATTATGCGGTGTATCTAGACAAACAATCTAATTGCAGTCAAACTTTCATAAATCGTACTACGAAACTTACGGCGAAGTAAACATCACAATTTGTATAAGTAGATTACGCGACGGTGTATCCAGACATTTACAAAGTATGACTTTTAATATGCATATGTTTATCTGGACAAAAACGGAGTTAAATATACAGCATTGAGTAAAAATTATATCGTGGTATAAAACGCAAGTACATTGTATGTATGTTTTATATTTATAGATATATGAATAGTAAGTAGCCCAACACTAAGTGCTAAGATATTAAGACATGCAGTTTTTTGCACAATATTTCAAACACCGACCAAATATATTTATTCCAATCAACTTCATGTTTTAAGATATTTGATGTTGACTTTTAAGATATTTGATGTTTAGACTTTCAAGCCCGAGAGGTTTCTGGAGGATAACTCAGGAGGAAGAGATCCTTTCAGTTATGTACCTTTTTCTGCGGGACCAAGGTAAGTCTGTTTATTATCACCTTTTTTCATCTTTATTTCAATTTCTCGAAGGGGAAAGCCTTCGGGAATCTACAATCATATATAAAACGCATTTCTAAGAGTGTAGGTGCAACCTTACTGAAGCGCAAATTATCACGTAGTCCGTCCTTCAAACGGCGATTGTATGGTACCATACCACTTGACTGATACAAAACAGAAACTGTAGTATGGAACTCAGACTATAGTAGACTCTACTCTATAAGTGGTGATAGGCAGTAAATGTAGATTGTCCTGTTCCAGAACATTACTCTATTACCTTTTACATCAATGACATAGGTCCGTTAGTTTGTCTGGCTACTTTGTTTCTATGATGCATAGCCTTCAAAGTATGTTTTATATAACATTATATAAACATGACATTAATTAGCAGGTGACAATGGGTTTTTGAGGGTTGACAATATTCACTGTCACCTGCTAATGAATGTCATATTTATTTTGTTACACCAAAAGTCTTTGTAGCTCAGAAACGGCAGCAAACCCCGATAATGACATCTTGTTTGTTGATAGTCTGCTGTTTACAATCGCTATCGCACCGGCGCTTCAAGAAATTGGCTGTTGCCGTCAAACGTTATTGTGACCATCACGGTGGGAAAACGAATCGGTGCACGCACATTTTTTGCGCATGAGATATTTTTCACTGTCTCATGGCAATATCACCCGCGCCCCTTAAAACCAATGTATTTTCGGAGGGCGACAGAGATTATTGTTTAATTTTCTCCCAACCAATCAAATAGCTAGAAATTCACTTGAGGTGTAACAAATATATATGAGATGTGCCTTACGTAATGAAGCTCATTTCTATCTTTGTGATGGTGACTTTGTGTGTTAATGTTGTGATATTTATATTGATTAGAATTAACACAAAGCCTAGCTATAAGAGCACTAATGTATTGATCATTATTAAATACAGAATACAATTGATTAAATATTAAACAGGTTGATAAAAATAAAAGTTTTGTTTATGTAGAATGGTGTGCACAAACCTCGCAGTGTAAATGAAGAAAAGTAAAAAATAAATATTGATTAATTATTTCTTTTTGTTTGAGTAAATCACACTGCTGTAGCCTGATCAACCCAAATCAATAATGTAAATAATGTTCAAATTCCAGAAATTGCATCGGCCAGAATTTTGCAATGAATGAAATGAAGGTGGTCATTTCAAGAGTTATACGAAGGTGAGATAAAACCGGGTTATCTCCCCTTTTGTTATGTTTAACAAGTGGCTTTTTTGGTTGATTTTGCTTCTTTTCAATACTGTTTTAATGTATTATTTGTCGAACAATACTATATGTTGTTTCTGAGTATTTATGCTGTAGATATTAGGTATGATGAAAACATTCTCTTTCAGTAAATTATAGATAGTACAGTGAATGAAATCTTCCTATAAAAAAGATTATTAAGTCATCTGCTACTGATGGTATCCATGCTGTCAGTAATCCTGTAACACAGATTTTGCAAGTTTGGCATTTGATTAATTGCAAGTTTTGGTTTTTTTTATGGCTTTTTATCCACATTAAATTATATTTGCAAATGTAATCTTTCCAAATTATGTGTTATCGAATAAAATGTAGGATACGTATTACTTTTTCTTAAGAACTAAACAAAAAGTATGACTCATATTTTATGGTAAAAGCTACTTATTCTGTTGTTATATATTGATGTATTTCTTTTTATAGATTTAAGATTGTGTTTGATCCAAATCATGAAGCAACCCCATTCACCCAACTGATACTCAGGGCGGAGCACGGAATCAAAGTTTACTTGGAGAACCGATGACATCAATATGCAATTGTAATTATTATTCGTCTATGTACAATTTTTTTATTGTTGTTGTTTAAAAAAAAAGGGGGGGGGGGGTCATTTTGTTAACATCTGTTACAGCCGGAAAAAGACAAATAAAAAACAGTTAGGAACATTTTTAAGTTTATCTGTGTTAATGATATAATTTTGAAGTTGATGTATGAATTTGTATAAAACAGTTGTTTAAAAAATGAAAAAATTGTAATACATAAAAATGACATTGTTCAAAGTTATTATGGTCAAATATTGTGAAATTATTTGTTCAACATCCATATATCACAACAACAAAACATGTACCAGTTACAACACATACTCGGTTTCTATAAGGTATACAAACTCTATATATAACTACACATATCAATGATGATCACATATAAATATATCCCAAAACAACGTAAATGTACACCAAGAATAGAAAACAGGTCAATCTCGCCCCGTATATATCATAGATTTCGTCCAGCATAATATTCTCTAATTTCACGATTATACTTCTTTACTTATCATACAAAGAAAAACAATTGCTTTATTTAATATTGGAGAAAAAATAATAAAGAAGTATGAATGATTAACGATCCTGATCATTGGATCAACGTTTTATATATATGCATGCTTTTTAATGTGGTAACGTTCATTTATCTATAAACCTTTCTCACAAAGCTTCTGTAGTTAAGCATTAACATGTGTTTTGCTATTGACCTTCTTGTAAACGTATTTATTTAAACCGTTTTTTAACTTTGATAGTGGTCAAACCTGTAACATCTGTGCCGTGTGGCCACTACAGACCACTTACACTACCGGTACGGAAGGTCTCCATCTATCAGGGTTCGCTTACCTAATGTAATTGATGCGATATCGATTAGTGTCAACTATTCAACATCGAGTTAAACCTGTTCGAACGGGGTATGGATTAGACAGTGTAATACACAAACAGATTTACCAGTCAAGAAATAAAACCTAATTAAATTTATATTTTTATATATTTATATATTTCCTATCAAAAGCAGCAAATCATGTACATATTTCCAATACAGAGAGTGTAGTACGGGTATAAACCGCACATCCAATCAACACACACTCTTCTTTCTAGCATTTAATCTATACGTACAAAGAACGTTATAAAACGGTTGTGGTATCGCTTTAAAATTGTTATTAATCCTTAACAAACAATTGAAACGTGACGATAATGGGGTCCTCATACTTATTTAAATACAAATAGGTTAGACAATAAATGAGTTACCGCCCTTACCTGAAAGCATTGATTTATTGACAGAACTTGTTCTTCAACAAACACAATATGTACATTCTTAAGCATGCCTAATTAGTGTAGCAAATTAGGTAGTATTTATCTTTTAATAGGCGATGATAAAACTAATCCATCACCTCAATTATCTTTTGTACAAAAATAACCTAACCTTCGTTATCTATTTCTGACATGAAAGATTTACTTTATAAATAGCCAATAATTATAAGATTTAAGATTAATATTCATTATTGTATGAATTTATAAGCGACATGTTAAACACTGAAATAAAAGGGAAAAATTGAAAGTATGGATATTTTGATACATCCCTTATAATTCTGCAACTTGAAAGATTGTTTGGCCCACAAAAAGATGTTTGCAATACTGATGTTTATATATATTTCTTTGTTTTATTGGTACTCTCGTATTCAAAATTTCCAATTTAGTTAAAAAGTTTTACGACACCAATATCTTCACTTATTATATCATCATGTTTTATCCATACCAACACTTAGTCCGAATTATTTTGACGTTTTATCGACTTTTTTTGTGTGAAAGTGACGATTTGTTTCTAAAATATCAGTTTGAAGTGCGCTCCGAGCGCGGGTCGCATATTTCCCGCATATTATAGAGGGCCGGAGTTCTGACATTAATCGACGACAGACCGATATGAAAAAAGTCGACAAAACGTCAGAATAATTCGGACTTACCAACACTGTGCAAGCTTAACCATATCATTGTAAAACGACACACACATTACATCTGTTCTAGCTAGCAAAACCAATTTCAAAAATTTAAATAATTTATAATGATGAGCATTCTGAAAGAAGTTTCCAGTTCGTCTCACCATACAATATCATAGTTGGCAGTACTAACATTTCTAATGCATCGTGTGTAAACAGATACACACAATCCACTCCTTTTAATGAAATCTTTTCTGAGTATAAAATCATGAAAATGTATCATGACAGAACAGATATCGTGAACATTAGGCACAATAAGTATAGCAGATTGCAAGTGTAATAGACTTTAGATGATCCACTGGATCCGTCTTTTGTGTCATCGTCGTCATTGTTTGTATCATCGGATAACTGGTTAGCTTTCATCACTCCAGCCTCCGGGGTAAGAGTAGGCGGAGGGCATTCTGAAAAGAAAAATGTGTTTTTTATGTATTCTTATCTATTAAAGTTCTCTCCCTTCGTTAGTGGTAAGCGGAGGGCTTTCTGTGATTTAAAATTAATGGATTTTTTCACATTAGCAACTATCAGAGTTGTCTCCCTTCAATAGTGGTACGCGAAGGGCTTTCTTTCTGTAATCTAAAATCATTTGGGTTTTCAAGTTATCTTCTGTTAGAGTTCTCTCCCTTCATTAGTGGTACGCGAAGGGAATTCTGTATTATAATAAAAAAAAAATCACATTCTCATCTAAGAGAATAATCTGCCTTTTGTGGTTGCTTAATATGTACGATGTTGGGTCTTTAAACTCCGAGAAACACGAAAAAACAAAATACCCTCAAGCTAAAATGTCTGTATTATCTTTATTTCTTTAATGTGCACTTTGCAGTATTCATCAGCAGTTTCTTGAAGGATGGATTCAACGGTTTTTTTTTTGTTTTTTTTTATCAAAATACTAATATTGTCTAATTGAAATAATGCGGATTTTTCTAACCGTTGAATGACATAAATTGGAGCGATCAGAAGTGCGCATGCGCGAAGAAATTTTACAAAATGTAAGCCTTACTTTTGGTTTGTTGAACATACACGGACATGGCGTAAAATGACTGGTCGGTGTGTGAGAATGTGACCATACACTGATCCGTATCTTTATGTCGACAAACACGGTTGTCTGGTGTGTCTGAAACATAAAAAAGAAAGAAAATGAAATGGGAGTCATAATACTTCTGACACAACCATCATATGTTTACCACTTTGAATTGTAAACTATGATTTTGTAAACATCTAGACAGATAAAAGGTCCTCTTGCAGAAAAGGGCGTTCTGACCGGTAATTCAACGTTAACTATGGCAGAACATTATCTGTCTCGAGGGAAATATTCTTTGAATTTCTAACCCTCGACAGAAATCTATTTCAGACAATGACGAATCATTTCTGCCGATTTTATATTTCACTATCAATCCTTCAAGGCAATTTAAGAATCAACAAGTTTATTTGTACACATTTTAGGAAGGCAAATCACATTAATGCTTTCAGTAAGACCTACCATGGACTGGTAATCTCTACTGCGCGTTAAACTGAACATATGCATTTGACATTCAGTTCAATTATCTTAAAATTGAATTCAAGCGTGAAAAACAATATTGTTAAAGATGAATATGCAAATTAATTATAAATTACTACACCTATACTTGCTGTTTAATTGCTGTGGACAAACGCCCTCTCCCCCTACCTTCTTTATTATTAGTGAAGAGGGAAAGATAATGCGCCCATTGACCTGCATGCAACGGAGTTGTCTTTCTTTACGTATCGTTCTAGCGCGTGTTAATATAAACTCTCAGTGATACGCGTAACCAGGCTATCGCTGCATCATACAGTGACTAAATCTGGGTAAATCATCACTAGATTTGGTTCATAATCTTGTTGAAAAGATAACACAACATTCCTCGTTCATAAACTGGCTTACCTGGCAATGCGTCTACCATGTGAATTCTATTTATGCTGCAATCTTCTTCGCATTCTTCAACATCTTTCTCACCGGAATTAAAACCCACACACAGAACACACGGTATCCATAAATTACACACGTCGGTAAAATCCTGCAAATTTATAACAGAAATAATTTGTCAGCAGAGTATGATTGGACTATATATTCAAAATAATATTTGGTGTTTTGCTATTTTTGATTAAACTGAAATAACAGAAAGCTGATCAACAACAATATATATTTCTTTATGGAATCAAATGATAAGATACATATATGTTGCCGCCCGTCCAAAGTGTGGCGTCATCTGTGCAAAAGCTTTTGGTCTACGATCACATCTCAGGCGTACTGACTACGTCATCGCTCACGATGGACTTCCATGTTGATTATATTGACGACTCTGTAGTTTTATGTTTCGTAGTGCTACGTTCAAGGTAAAACTTACCGACATGAATGACTTGGATGAGGATTGTTTCGGTACGATCTCCCTACCCTCACTACACGTGGGTCCCATGTACCCGTTGATACAGACACACCTGTTACAGCGACAGTTTCCGTTTCCACTACAAATACGCTATGGATAGACAAAGTAATAGTTGCAGTTACAAATATTATATAAAAAAAACAGTAGAGCGGAGACGAATAATAATTAACCTAGATTTTCCATAACGACAGGGTAGTCCCCCCATAACGACAGGGTAGTCCCCCCATAACGACAGGGTAGTCCCAACATAACGACAGGGTAGTTCCCCCCATAACGACAGGGTAGTCCCAACATAACGACAGGGTAGTTCCACCATAACGAGTCGACAGGGTAGTCCCCCATAACGACAGGGTAGTCCCCCAATAACGACAGGGTAGTCCCCCCCATAACGACAGGGTAGTCCCAACATAACGACAGGGTAGTTCCCCCATAACGACAGGGGAGTCCCCCCATAACGACAGGGTAGTCCCCCATCACGACATGGTAGTCCCCCATAACGACAGGGTAGTCCACCATAACGACAGGGTAGTCCCCCCATAACGACGAGGTAGTTCCCCATAACGACAGGGAAGTTCCCCCATAACGACAGGGTAGTCCCCCCCATAGCGACAGGGTAGTCCCAACATAACGACAGGGAAGTTCCCCCCATAACGACAGGGTAGTCCCCCCCTAACGACAGGGTAGTCCCCCCATAACGACAAGGTAGTCCCCCCATAACGGCAGGGTAGTCCCCCCATAACGACAGAGTAGTCCCCCCATAACGCCAGGGTAGTCCCCCCATAACGACAGGATAGTCCCCCCATACCGACAGGGTAGTCCCCCCATAACGACAAGGTAGTCCCCCCATAACGGCAGGGTAGTCCCCCCATAACGACATGATAGTCCCCCATAACGACAGGGTAGTACCCCCATATCAAGTCGACAGGGTAGTCCCCCATAACGACAGGGTAGTCCCCCATCACGACATGGTAGTCCCCCATAACGACAGGGTATTTCCCCCATAACGACAGGGTAGTCCCCCATAACGACAGGGTAGGCCCCCCATAACGACGAGGTAGTTCCCCGTAACGACAGGGTATTTCCCCCATAACGACAGGGTAGTCCCCACATAACGACAGGGTAGTTCCACCATAACGAGCCGACAGGGTAGTCCCCCATAACGACAGGGCAGTCCCCCCATAACGACAGGGTAGTACCCCCATATCGACAGGATAGTCCCCCTATAACGACAGGGTAGTCCCCCCATACCGACAGGGTAGTCCCCCCATAACGAGTCGACAGGGTAGTTCCCCCCATAACGACAGGGTAATCCCCCCATAACGACAGGGTAGTCCCCCCATGACGACAGGGTAGTTCCCCCATAACGAGTCTACAGTGTAGTCCCCCAAAACGACAGGGTAGTTCCCCCATAACGACAGGGTAGGCCCCCCTAACGACAGGGGAGTCCCCCCATAACGACAGGGTAGTTCCCCCCTAACGAGTCGACAGGGTAGTCCCCCCATAACGAGTCGACAGGGTAGTCCCCCCATAACGACAGGGTAGTCCCCCATAACGACATGGTAGTCCCCCATAACGACAGGGTAGTCCTCCCATAACGACAGGATAGTCCCCCCATAACGACAGGGTAGTCCCCCCATAACGACGAGGTAGTTCCCCATAACGACAGGGTATTTCCCCCATAACGACAGGGTAGTCCCCCCATAACGACAGGGTAGTTCCCCCATAACGACAGGTTAATCCCCCCGGAACGACAGGGTAGTTCCCCTATAACGACAGGGTAGGTCCCCCATAACGACAGGGTACTCCCCCCATAACGACAGGAAAGTCCCCCCATAACGAAAGGGGAGTCCCCCCATAACGACGAGGTCGTTCCCCATAACGACAGGGAATTTCCCCCATAACGACAGGGCAGTACCCCTATAACGACAGGTTAGTCCCCCCATAACGACAAGGTAGGCCCCCCATAACGAGTCGATAGGGTAGTCCCCCCATAACGCCAGGGTAGTCCCCCCATAAGTACAGGGGAGTCCCCCCATAACGGCAGGGTAGTCCTCCCATAACCGCAGGATAGTCCCCCCATAACGACAAGGGAGTCCCCCCATAACGACGAGGTAGTCCCCCATAACGACATGGGAGTCCCCCATAACGACATGTTAGTCCCCCATAACGACAGGGAAGTTCCCCCATAACGACAGGTTAATCCCCCCGGAACGACAGGGTAGTTCCCCAATAATGACAGGATAGTCCCCCTATACCGACAGGATAGTCCCCCCACAACGACAGGGTCGTCCCCCCATAACGAGTCGATAGGGTAGTTCCCCCATAACGCCAGGGTAGTCCCCCATAACGAGTCGACAGGGTAGTTCCCCAGTAACGACAGGGTAGTCCCGCCATAACGACAAGGTAGTCCCCCCCTAACGACAGGGGAGGCCCCCTATAACGACAGGGTAGTTCCCCATAACGACAAGGTAGCCCCCCATAACGACATGGTATTCGCCCGGTAAGGACATGGTAGTCCCCCCATAACGACATGGTATTCGCCCGGTAAGGACATGGTAGTCCCCCCATAACGACCGGGAAGTTCCCCCATCACGACAGGGTAGGCCCCCCATAACGACAGGATAGTTCCCCCCTAACGACAGGGTAGTACCCCCATAACGACAGGGTACTCCCCCCATAACGACAGGGAAGTCCTCCCATAACGACAGGGTAGGTCCCCCACAACGACAGGGTAGTTCCCCCATAAGTACAGGGGAGTCCCCCCATAACGACGAGGTCGTTCCCCATAACGACAGGGGAGGTCCCCCATAACGACAGGATAATCCCCCCATAACTACAGGGTAGTCCCCCCATACCGACAGGGTAGTCCTCCCACAACGACAGGATAGTCCCCCCCATAACGACAGGGTAGTACCCCTATAACGACAGGGTAGGTCCCCCACAACGACAGGGTAGTCCCCCCCAAACCGACAGGGTAGTCCCCCCATAACGACTGGGTAGATCCCCATAACGACAGGGTGGTCCCCCATAACGACATGGGAGTCCCCCATAACGACATGTTAGTCCCCCATAACGACAGAGTAGTCCCCCCATAACGACAAGGGAGTCCCCCCATAACGACGAGGAAGTTCCCCATAACGACAGGGAATTTCCCCCATAACGACAGGGTAGTTCCCCCATAACGACAGGGTAGTACCCCTATAACGACAGGGTAGTCCCCCTATAACGACAGGGTAGTCCCCCTATAACGACAGGGTAGTTCCCCCATAACGAGTAGACAGGGTAGTCCCCCGTTAACGACAGGGTAGTCCCCCCATAATGACAGGGTATATCCCCCATAACGACAGGGTAGTTCCCCCCATAACGGCAGGGTAGTCCCCCCATAACGACATGATAGTCCCCCCATAACGACAAGGTAGTCCCCCCATAACGACAGGATAGTCCCCCCATAACGACAAGGTAGTTTCCCCATAACGACAGGGTAGTCCACCCATAACGACAGGATAGTCCCCCCATAACGACAAGGTAGTCCCCCCATAACGACAGGATAGTCCCTCCATAACGACAGAGTATTTCCCCATAACGACATGGTAGTCCCCCCATAACGACTTGGTAGTCCCCCCATAACGACAGGATAGTCCCCCCATAACGACAAGGTAGTCCCCCCATAACGACAGGATAGTCCCTCCATAACGACAGAGTATTTCCCCATAACGACATGGTAGTCCCCCCATAACGACATGGTAGTCCCCCCATAACGACATGGTAGTCCCCCCATAACGACATGGTAGTCCCCCCATAACGACAGGATAGTCCCCTCATAACGACAGGGTAGTTCCCCATAACGACATGGTAGTCCTCCCATAACGACAGGGTAGTCCCCCCATAACGACAGGGTAGACCCCCATAACGACAGGGTAGTCCCCCATAACGACAGGGTAGTCCCCCATAACGACAGGATAGTCCCCCCATAACGACAGGGTTGTCCCCCCATAACGACAGGGTAGTGCCCCAATAACGACAGGGTAGTCCCCCTATAACGACAGGGTAGTCCCCCCATAACGACAGGGTAGTCCCCATAACGACAGGGTAGTCCCCAATAACGACAGGGTAGTCCCCCCATAACGACAGGGTAATCCCCCCATAACGACAGGATAGTCCCCCATTACGACAAGGTAGTCCCCCCATAACGACAGGGTAGTCCCCCCCATAACGACAGGGTAATCCCCCATAACGACAGGGTAGTCCCCCATAACGACAGGGTAGTCCCCCCATAACGACAGGGTAGTCCCCCCATAACGACAGGGTAGTCCCCCCATAACGACAGGGTAGTCCCCAATAACGACAAGATAGTCCCCCCATAACGACAAGGTAGTCCCCCATAACGACAGGGTAGTGCCCCCATAACGACAGGGTAGTTCCCCTATAACGACAGGGTAGTCCCCCCATAACGACAGGGTAGTCCCCCCATAACGTCAGGATAGTCACCCCATAACGACAANGTCCCCCCATAACGACAGGGTAGTCCCCCCATAACGACAGGGTAGTCCCCAATAACGACAAGATAGTCCCCCCATAACGACAAGGTAGTCCCCCATAACGACAGGGTAGTGCCCCCATAACGACAGGGTAGTTCCCCTATAACGACAGGGTAGTCCCCCCATAACGACAGGGCAATCCCTCCATAACGACAGGGTAGTCCCCCCATAACGACAGGATAGTCCCCCCATAACGACAGGGTAGTTCCCCCATAAGTACAGGGGAGTCCCCCCATAACGACAGGATAATCCCCCCATAACTACAGGGTAGTCCCCCCATAACGACAGGGTAGTCCCCCCATAACGACAGGGTAGTCCCCCCATAACGACAGGGTAGTCCCCCCNAGTCCCCCCATAACGACAGGGCAATCCCTCCATAACGGCAGGGTAGTCCCCCCATAACGACAGGGTAATCCCCCCATAACGACAGGGTAGCCCCCCCATAACGACAGGGTAGTCCTCCCATAACGGCAGGGAAGTCCCCAGGCCCAACATGCTGGGTGCAGCGACGACCGCTATCTGCCCAGTGCCCCTGCTAGTTTAAAATCTTTCCTAAAATTCAACGTGCCCTTTTATCCACAAATGTTGAATCTTACATTAAATTTAGCAACACCGACGCCGAGAAATGAATAAATACAAAACTTATATACTAATTCATCATAATATGCTGATGAACAAATAAAAGGAAATAATTGACGTTTTACGTCTGTATGTGACTAAAAGGAAATAATTGATGTTTTACGTCTGTATGTGACTAAAAGGAAACAAGAGGCCCAGAGGGCCTGTATCGCTCACCTGGATATCTAAGCAATCATGGCAAAATATTCTCCAAATGAGATCCAACGGAATATGCCAGACCTCAAGGCCAATCATTTTTTTATGCACAGCAATTTTATGTAAGGTTATGGGGTGGGGATCTCAACTGTTTCCAAGCTGTGACTCAGAAACTAGGTCCCTAGGGTTGTGGCCAGACCCCAGGATCAATTCTAATATCATGACTGCATTTGTCTCTTTTTGCCCAGCATTTGTATATTAAGTTTTGGGGTGGGGATCTCAACCGTTTCAAAGTTATGACCCAGGGGTTATGTCTGCAAGGGTGGGGCAGACCCTTGGGTCAATTCTAATATCATGACTGCATTCGTCTCTTTATGCCCAACAATTGTATATATAGTTTTGGGGTGGGGATATTAACCGTTTCAAAGTTATGACCCAGGGGTTAAGTCTCCAAGGGTGGGGCCAGACCCTAGGGCCATCCTGGAAGCAAATGTGCATTCCTCTCGTTATACTCAACAATTGTATATATGGTTATATGGTTGGGATCTCAACTATTTTCAAGTAAAAAAAAAAAAGACCCCACCCCTTAGCCCGGGGGGTCAGCCCGACCATTTGTACAATTTTGGATCCCTGCCTCCCATGAATGCTTCTGACCAAATATGATCAATATCCATGGTATAGTTTTACGGAAGAAGTCATTTAAGGCAATATAGCCAAATTGCCCCCTTTTGGCCCAGCCCTCAGCCCCCTGGGGGGTCAGCCCCACAATTTGTACAATTTTGAATCCCCACCACCTAGGGATGCTTCCAGTCAAATATGGTTGATATCTATCTCTTAGTTCCAGAGAAGAAGTCGCTTAAAGCATATAGCCAAATTGCCCCCTTATTGCCCCGCCCCTCAGCCCCCTGGGGGGTCAGCCCAACCATTTGTACAATTTTGAATCCACACCACCTAGGGATGCTTCCAGTCAAATTTAGTTAAATTCCAATAAGTGTTTAAGAAGAAGAAGTCGTTTAAAGAAATTGTTGACGGACGGACGACGGACGACGGACGGACGGACGACGGACGCCACGGTATGGCATAAGCTCACCTTGGTCCTTTGGACCCGGTGAGCTAATAAATGACGTTTTACGTCTGTATGTGACTAAAAGATACAACCAATAGCTCCTAGCAGTGTGTCCGACGTTAACATATATGTCTGGGAAGGTTCCCGAATGACAGGTTTAACTGAAGTTTTAAATTACATTATCCATCACGCCACCCGACAACCCTTCAAATTTATGATATATATGTATATAATACACACTAAATCGCTGCTTCCTGCATTTTAGTTAATTAAAGCTAGATACTTGAAAGAAATCTTAACAATTTACCTGATCAACAGGTTGAAGCTCAACTAATACAAATATTTCTATGTGTGTAGTTATCCTCTTAATTGGATATCACTCGGGCGATTATGGAAAACTCAAACAAACCTTTTTACTTCACGAACAGCCATGATGCTTTACATGTAACCAAGGAAAGAAAACAGGCACCAAAGTTAATGACAGCCGGTCTGTAACACTCGTGTCGAGTGTTATACAGTGTAGATCGGCTGTCATTACCTTTGGCATCTATCAACAGACTGTTATGACTAAGAGGATACCTAGTATAGAAGTTATATAATACAAGTATTAGTTACGTCATTACATATTCACTTTTTCTCATAAGCTCCAAAATTTCTAAATCGATAAGTTATGTTTCTCATATTGCTTTAAGATGTATTTCCTGTCAAGTTACCAGACATGTTGCCACGTTAGTATCCCCTATGCTATACCGTTAGTATTTTTCTATAGCCAAGATGTCCTTGTAGGCAAGTGTTAGAACCGAACCATTTTAGTATTATTTACCATGCAAATCCCGCAGTCTGTCTTTGCAAATATGTGGCTTTCGTAAACCCATCCTCATTTTATCGTCGTAATGTACCCTAACCTTCTGTAACCAACGTAATTCAATTCTGTTGTGATCGTCGGAACCACGGTTTAACCGAGATGTTCGTGTCCAAATATACTGTGGTCGCAGTACCCCAACCTCCTTGTCGAAACCTACCTTCATATCATCGTCGTGACTCTTTAGACTCTCATTTTATATTAGCTACCTTATTTGATTCCCATTACTTTGAACAGCGTACCCTTTCAACCAGTACCCGAAACCCCGTGGTTGACGTACCCCGTCGTCCGCTGTACACCGGTCTATAGCTGTAGGACAGGAGCAATCCTCGCCCAAAAATCCACTGTTACATCGACATGTACCGCATTCACACCAGCCCCTGTCGTGTCCTGTAAAAGATGATTAAACCTATACAATACACATACCACATTCATACCAGCCCCTGTCGTGTCCTGTACATAAATATATCAAGGGTGGTGTGTACATGACGCCTTAAAAGTCGTGGGTCTTTATATCCTTCTTGATCTTTTTGCCAGGTTGTATGACTTTCTAATAGCAGATGGTACATGTAAGCTATTTCTCAACGTGACCGAAACCCTCTCAAAGCACCGGTTTTCATAGGTCACAGAACGCGATTTTGGGACACATAACAAAGATTATGTGTCCGACCGCAATGATCGTGATGGCTGATGCAGGTACTGGGAAGCTGTTTCATTCAGTGCCTTGTGTGTGCACACCATCATTTTGTACTGCGACCTGTATCGTACAGGTAGCCAGTACAATTAATATATAGCACTGTTGTGACGTGCTCCCTCTTTGGAGTACTAGTAACCAGACGTGCTGCAGTGTTATAGACCCTCCGCAGACGACAAGTTAGGTTGTCAGATATACCACAGAGCAGGGTATTACCGTAGTCCGACCGATAGGTAAAAAGTAGATGAACCAAAACTTTGCATGCATCTGCAGTTATAAACTGCCGAATACAACCGATGTTTCTGGTGTGGTAGTAAAAGGATTTGGCAAAAGCGTTCACTTGATTCGCCATGTTCAATAAACTATCAAAGTATATCCCTAGGTTTTTAACAATGATATTGAAGGTTATTGGGGCGACTAATCTCTCCGATTGGTATAAAATATTTTCATTACTTTCGTGGTCCTGACACCGACCCTTGAGGATCCCCGAAATCTAGTACTTTGTCATGTGAGGCGGTAGATCCTATGCCAACACACAGTCATCGTTCACTCTAATAAGACTGTATCCAACATAGAGCTTCACCAGTCACCGAATAAGAGAAATCCTGACGTTTGTAAAGTATGCCATGATCGATGACGTCAAAAGCAGGTGACAAGTCTAGCATGACAAGCACCGCTCAACACTTGTTACAGAATATTGAACTCATCAAGCACCGCTCTACACTTGTTACAGAATATTTAACTCATCAAGCACCGCTCTACACTTGATACAGAATATTTAATTCATAAAGCACCGCTCTAAACTTGTAACAGAATATTTAACTCATCAAGCACCGCTCTACACTTGTTACAGAATATCGAACTCATCAAGCACCGCGCTACACTTGATACAGAATATTTAATTCATATAGCACCGCTCTAAACTTGTTACAGAATACTTAACTCATCAAGCACCGCTCTACACTTGATACAGAATATTTAACTCATAAAGCACCACTCTACACTTGTTACAGAATATTTAACTCATCAAGCACCGCTCTAAACTTGTTACAGAATATTTAACTCATCAAGCACCGCTCTACACCTGTAACAGAATATTTAACTCATCAAGCACCGCTCTAAACTTGTAACAGAATATTTAACTCATCAAGCACCGCTCTAAACTTGAAACAGAATATTTAACTCATAAAGCACCACTCTACACTTGTTACAGAATATTTGACTCATCAAGCACCGCTCTAAGCTTGTTACAGAATATTTAATTCATAAAGCACCGCTCTAAACTTGATACAGAATATTTAATTCATAAAGCACCGCTCTAAACTTGAAACAGAATATTTAACTCATAAAGCACCGATCTACACTTGTTAAGAATATTTCACTCATCAAGCACCGCTCTACACTTGATACAGAATATTTAACTCATCAAGCATCGTTCTACACTTGTTACAGAATATTTAACTCATCAAGCACCGCTCTAAACTTGTTACAGAATATTTAACTCATAAAGCACCGCTCTACACTTGTTAAGAATATTTAACTCATCAAGCACCGCTCTACACTTGTTACAGAATATTCAACTCATTCTGAACGCTTGCACAACCCTTAATTCTTGTACACAAGATGTCGGCAACACCGATGCAGTAAGAGTGGACCCTTTTTCTCCAATAAATCGTTATACAATAACGATAACGTGTGTTGCACTTACAGTATAAAAAATAGAAATGGGCACCTATTTATTTTTGCTAGACTGCTACACTTAAGTTGATTAGTGACGCACGATAAAAGAATTCATGCTTATACTCAGTTTGTTCAAAGGCAGTGTTTTCTTATCAAAAGGAAATCATACTTTATTTTCGTGAAGGTTTATTTTTTGTGTTTATTCACAAGGACTCTCATACGCGTATTTAACCTTTTGTGAATATTTTTTTTCCATACATCATTCTTTTTTTGAAACATCATTCTTTCCATCGCCAAGTTCGTGTATTTGTGAATAAATTGTACATGCTAAGTTCACGAAATACAGTGATATAAACTGCATATACCGACACTCGACACGAACCTTAATAAGCTTTACATCGTTTTTGTCTTTGTTATCAAGAAGTTATGGGAAGAAGCAATTGCCATATTTTAAGATGAAAATGTTGATATTATGTCAGGAAATTAACACCAATCATGAGGTGATGCCATATTCAAACTTTGACGAAAGGTTTCCTGCTGACTTTTGTCCCCTGATGGGAATGACAACAATGAAGAAACACAACTTTGATCCTGCAAAAAGACTGCTCAACCATTTCTCAAAACAACGTGTGAAAATTAATCATGAACCAACGACATTTATCACAAACAAAACATTATAGTCCCTCGTATTGCTTATATAAATATAAAAATTGAAATACAACCTCTTTACACTTGTAGTGGTGTGAAACCAGGTGGCGCACACATTTATTCCTAAAGATGATCACGGAGATTTTTTGTTAGCAATTGACATCGGTTTTTATACCGTCATGCATTTATATCTACATTTCCACTGCAAGTTTCCCTATAAGCATTACATGAGGAAATTGCGTTCATAGAGCGATGAACGCAATTTGATCAGCGTCATTTTGACGTTTCTCCTTCCGCCTCGATTAACATGAGACTACCATTAGAAGCAAACATATTGGTGACGTAAGGCTGTTCCAGGAATATCGTTTGCACTGACGACACAGACGTTTCAATATCGAAAATATAAGGGAATATCTTTGTTAATGTCAATAATAACTAAAGATTTGGAATATAAATATAAGGTTTAACGGACAGGCTTCATGGACTATGTATGTAACCGGCATGAAATTGAAAAAAAATGCCATTTAATCCTTTTTTATTATGAATTTAATTTTTTGACAAATGCTTACCCCCACAAACTTCATCTTCAAAGTATGGACAGCTGTGATCATCACATTCACAGAATGTGCCGGAAAATCTGTGCAGGTCCTGAAACATGAGAGGTTAAACATATGTATTCCTTGGTCGGTAGTTTATCACAAACTAAACTAATTTACACGACCTGTCTGGGCGTCCAGTTCCTAATATTGTAGAGGGATACTTTATGATACTTAAACTGTCAATTCAAAGTCACTTTATCACATCACATGCTCATGAATTCTTATCGAAGAGTTTATTGTTGGGAGTTATTGGGAGAATGAGTCTATACATCTCTACTAATGTAACAACCTACTAACATGAAGGTCACCACAGCAATTTTGTGCCATGAGACTTAGTAAAGTTGTATATAGTAATATTTTAAGAGTTATGCGCATTGGAACGTTCACCCGAAACCCGCTGAACTCACTCATACACACACACACACACACAATTACAGATATGTGCTACCTAAATGTGTCTTGTCGTGTTTTCTACGTGAGTCAACTGTACTTGGATCTTTTTTGCTTGACAGTTTATATTAATCATTCCTGATGGGAAACAAATACCTTACGGGACTTTCATGGAAAAAACATTGAAGAAGAAATGAAAAATCAATGCTGTGAAGAATGCAGCATAGCCAGAGCGATATTCGAACCGTGGACCTCCGATTACAGTTCGGTCGGTCAAACCTACATAGTGACCTGGTCAGTGATAGCTAGTTCTCTGGCAAAGTCCGACCACCATTATATCCCAAACAGAAGGGGAAAGTTATCGTTAGTACGAAATTCCACAATGGAATTCTCTTTTTTATTTTGCATGCATTGGAATAGGGGTCCTTATCTGCGCATCACTTGGATGACGGGGTTGATCCCTGAAAAGGACTTATTGAAGGGTCAGTACGATGGCTGTATAAGCATCCTGTAGTTTAAAGCACTAAGAGCACTATTTGTGATACTTGACATGGTACATTATCATTATGTATCTCATAGAGAATCACGGGGCAGGCCAGTGTAAAAATCTTTAGTCATGGTAGAACATGAAAACAAACTCATTAGTTTGATATCATATAACAATAACGGCATTCAAATTAGTCAACGTTGATAATGTTTTAAGTGTTCCTGCACATAGAGACATGCAACCCACACGTTTGGTTACAATTAATATGAACTGTAAACATCAACGGTCACCAGACACAACAAATGCGTTATTGTTTTTTAATTTTAGGCAGAAAAATAAAGCGTTCTGTGTTGTGTCACTTACTAATTTCAGTTTGTTTGGTAATTTTCTTTCTTAGTGTTCATTGTCCCTTTAGTTAAGAAAAAAATCAAATGCAAGAAATTCATTAAATTATTATTTCCTTTTTCAATAAGCCCAGGATCTTCTGGTCCTAGCACAGGGAGTTATCCACTGCGCTATCGGCGATGTCATCTGTTATGCTAATGCTTTCCGAAAGTGTATTATTGATAATAATTTCAAAATGTTCTAACTTTGTTAAAAGGAAGACAACCTATAATTGTCTTTGCGTGAATAAACAGAAGATAATATACATGTACATTTTATTGGAAAATAGCGTTCAAGTAACTGTACACAGTCAAGAACATGAATTTACCTTCACTCGCCTAGTTGTTGTCTCGCTATCCAAAACACATTGTATGCCATTGGGACCTTTATATTTCATACTGAAGGAGTGTGGGAGCGCCCCATTTCCGCCATCCTGTGGTTTATAGACACCCTTTTTTCACACTCAGCTTTTGACAATTCTCTTCAATCGTAGATAACCAAACTCAGTGTGAAGATTAACCTTTCGACATTTTATTATATTATTGTAATTGTACACGAAGCAAAGATGGATTTATCATTATCGTAAGTCATTTATCAATTGCACAGACATTGTACCAAATAACATTTTCATTATTGAATCTGTCACGTATTCAATCATACAATGTTTGACTGTAAATGGTTGGTAATTTTTTTGTACTGAAGTATATGAAATTTGTCATTTTAGAGAGTTGTTGGCCCCCTTTTAGGCTGAAGTTACCAACAACACTACATGGTGACTTATGTAACTGTGATAATATAATAAGGAACTTCTGGACCAGCATCTATTTCTGTACTATCCAATGTGGGTTCCTAACGATGACAAATTGCATTGACTTTTTCTGCGGTCACTTTGGGGAATATCTATTTTTTATCTGATTATAATCTTTCCATTAGAATGGACATTGTTGGAGATGTATATTTTATATCTTTCTTTTTATAAAGTTAAAACGATGCTTATTTAATTGTACCAGCTCACACCCGCATCACAATTGTGTTTGCAATGATTTAACACGCTCAGTCGAAAGTATTCATGTCATTGACCTTTTTATCTATTTAAAAACTGTTGAGTGCAAACTCCATTTATCCCTGACATTTGTCCTTGTCAATGTAAATTCACATCTTTCATAAAAAAGCAACATTTACTAATTACATTATATATAATATAGTGTTCCACACGGAGTTCTTCAAGGCGCCATTTTCCCCCAAAAACGAATAATACGTATTTATCACCTTAAAGAACGTAAAAATACGACCCTGATTACTATCATACGATATCTACATGAAAATGTTTATAGATCGTGTGAGAAATTGTCGGATGCTTAAGAAACAACGATTACAATCAGATTCCTAAAGAATGCATGCCTTGCATACACATTTTAGATTATATTATTTGGTTTATAGTTTTTTTAAAAGTATAATATAAAAATATAATTTTACAATTTTCTAAAAAGAAAATATCTAACTTCAAGATGGAAGAAAGATGTTCGTCTTTGTGATTAAACGACAAATATTTACTAGAAATGTTTTTCTGAACTAAATATTACGGAAATGTACTTTACTTGTTTTTGATATTCCTCTGACAAAATCTTTTTTTATCACTTTAACATTGAAACTTTACGTTAACCGGACTCTGTCCAAACTGGAACCTTATCTAAACTGATAATGTTCTTGAGACACGGTAGTCTAGTGGTAGGACGCCGGGCTCGTGACCAAAGGGTTGCGGATTCGAGTCACGACACAGCACTGTGTTGTATCTTCCCGCAATATACTTTACTTCGCGTGTTCCAGTCTACTCAGCTGTAAATGAGAACGTGGGTGGGCAGTGCTAGAATTGAAGATTGCTAGCTGTGAGCGCCGAAATGGCAGCACCGGCTGTATGCTCCCCATGGAATTTAGAAAGATATTGGCTGGTTGCAAAGGCTCTATAACCACGGATAATTTGTAAACCGCTTTGAGACGACCTACGAACAAATAAATAAATGGTGCCGAAGACACCCAGCAGGACACCCCACCCGGTCACATTATACTGACAACTGACGAACCAGTCGTCCCACTCCTAAACTCCTAAGCGTTAAGCAAGAGTAGAAATTACCATTTTACAGGCTCTTGTATGTCTCAGCCAGGGGACATAACCCAAAGCTTTCCTCACAGGGGCGAACTCTCAACTAAAGGCCAAAAGTGAACCCATTGTCTTCTTCACCTTGGCAAAAGTTCAACGTTAAAGCCAGAAATAAGGTTTTGCCAAGCAGACGCTATGACACATAGGTAGTAGGAAGTACAGAGAAGTTTAAAGGTTGGCTTAGAGGTGAACAAAGTTCGTTCAAATAGGTTTGTCAGTCATTGGCCGGAAAATTGTGCCATTGAACTTAAAAGTCAAAACAAGAGAATAGCGAAACGTGATTAACACTGTTATTAAAGAAATTGTTAAAGCTTTTAACGGAAACCATTAAAAATAAGAGAAATGCAATGAATATCTATTTTGTTAAGCATTTCCTCATATTAAACCATATTAAACAAAGGTGTTCTGTTGGTATAGGTTCTTCCTTGCTGTCGTCTACGTAATAATGTGGAAGACCACCAGTTGTGTAATTCAAACTGTGTAATTATAACCCTAACCCTAACCCTAACCCTAACTGTGTAATTATAAACTGTAGGACCTGCTGAAATGATAACTGTAAGACCTACATTACTGTTTAGGCATAGAGCAGTTCCCTCACTGAATTATTTTTGTATAAGGAGCTTTGAGCCAATGAAATGCAAAATGGTATTAGGTGTGCTAACTATGGTTTGATAAACGTTTGTGCAACAAGGTGACAGTTGCAACACCGAACGAATGGTCAGCATTGAGAAAATTGATGTTCATGTAAACATTTCAACATCCTGACCAATCTATTCTTTCTATGAATGTCCATACTTTAGATAACATTTATCATCCAAACAAAACCCCTTCATTTAGTACCCCGTGCCGTAGATAATGAGAAACATTACGTAAGATTTCTTGGCACTACTGCGCCATATGGATGTGGCGTGAACTATCAAGGTAATTTGTCAAGTCAGAATGCAGTCATACTAATGTTGCGTGTTTGCACTCCTCAAAGGAAGAGCAAATGGACATCGGCATTACATTACAAGAAGATTCTCGTTAAAATTTACCTTGGTGGCATTTGTGACCTGGCATACTTAATAAATGTATTGAGGACGTGACACAAATTCGTCTCTTTAAGCCTGTTCGTGTTGATAGAATAGACTCTACGCTAAATATTAAAACGGGAAAAGTATAATGTAACTATCAAGAAAGTAAAATTGTAATGTATATCATATAGCTGATGAGGGAGACGTCTACGTTGTAAGCACAGATTGATGTGAGCAGCTGATGTTACAATGATAATTTCAATAACGAATGAAATTATTCTCACTTATTCTTCTTAAGTATATTTTATTGACTTTTCTTCCGCAAAAAAGGGCCCAAAATAACACATTTTAACACGGCCATGTGTTCCTTGAGTTTTGTATGAGAAATGATAATACACAAACAATTTTACATCATTAAGCACATTTCATTGGTGTAAGGCTTCATCGATTTTCACTTTCGCTTATTTACACTGTTGATCGGCTTTCAGCTGCCATTGCATCGTACATGTCTGCGCATGCTTAGCTTTATGTAAAATATTGAATTATTTAACACGCGTAAGAAACAAAATAAAATTCCTTCTTATTTCATATTTGTGACACGTTTCACTTCCTGGGGG